ACCCTGTCCACGTTCCTCCCAGAGTGGGGTGGAAGCATCAAAAAGTGTTTCCTCCATCAATATGAGGACCCACAGTTTCCTCCCCTTTTTGCTCTGAGCTGACAGAAAGGGTGGTGGGGCAACACATTTTCTGCCATCTGATAGGGGGAGGGAAAGGGTGCCAATGCAACCTGTCCTGTCCCCACCATGTGGTCAGGGGAGGAGGGAGGGCTGCCTCACTTGCCTTCCCTTTAACGGCGCAACAGCACAGCCCAAAAGGGCTGTGTGAAGAGGTCTTCAGTCTAACAGACACTTTTCGTATATGTTAACTCGTATTACTTATCTTCTGTTAATAGAGTATAAGGGTCTGGATGTTTGGTGATAGGAATGCCACCACTGAAGGCTTGGCAACAGTCAGTGTAGGATTTGACTCATGCAATCTGTCATTTCTTAGTAGGAGATATCAAATATGAAGAAACATACAAGAGGTAGTCTATCAGCTTCTCACGGTTTTGTAGACTCCTGGAGTAGAAAAATATTCATTGTTATTCTGTCTTTTTGCTTGGAAAATATGGTTCACAGTAACCATAGGCTTCCTGCTCCCGAGACAGTATTTTCAGTTCTTTTTCTGTAAACACCTAATAAAGTTAATAAAATAAATGAGGATCAGTATTGCAGATTGATCTATCAGAAGTCATCCTATACTGATCCATAATGAGCCGTGTGGCTCTGGCAGCGACTTGAGAGGGATGGCAGATTTTGCAACCATCTGCCACTATTTAATACTTCCAGCATTTATTGATTTTTATATTATGTCGTAAGCCAACTTGGGTGACAATTGTTGCCATTCCAGGAGGCAGCGTTTCTTATGGGCAGTCTCTATTAAGCCTCCTTGGGTCTTGATTTGAGGAAAAATTCCTTCATAATGTGTTGTGGTAGATTGAGATAGCTCTAGAGAGATCCTATGAGTATTTAGTAGACATGTGAAATCTATAAAACAATGTTTCAAAACTCATTACAAAATTAGGGGTCACTGGCCTTTAATTTCTAAAGTATTTCTAAAGTATAGTTAATGAAAAATTTCATTTCTTCTTTGTTACGGTAATTTCGCAAGTAGGGAAACTTCAGGGGCTCCTTTCTCCCTCATTTTTACAGCTATTGGGGTGAAACTAGCTATAATAGTAGAACACATTTACCACTGTTGGCCCATCAAGTTTCACTTACGGATTTTTTATAAACAACATTAAAAAAACCCACAAGAGGTATCTCCTTGAATTTTCTATACAATGACTCAAGATAATACAGGATCATTTTCCCCAACTTTCAGAAACATTTTACATCTACTGATTTTAGAGATTTTAAAAGAAAGTTTTGACAAAAACATTATTATTTTTCAAAAGCCACCACAGCTATCTCATTGAATGTCTCACATATTAACCAATAGAACTTCCATGTAGGGATTTCTTCCCAGCCCAACACAAAGATTTTCTAACTAGAAGCATCAGCCGGTCCTCCTCTTTGTAGATTCAACCATTTATTGGATCTCTGGCTGGCAGCCACTATGGAGCGACAAATCCCTCCCCTCTCCTGATTGGGGCTTTCTGATGCTGAGCAGAATTCTGGGAAATGTATTTCAGGGCAGGGCCTTTTGAATTCTCTGGCATGGAGCTCCTTGCCTTCCTAAACTACATTTTCTAGAACTCTATGCTTTTTGGGTCTCTTTCCTAGCAAACACTGCTTTCTCTCTGCTGCTTCCTTCTCCTAATGGCAAGAGGCCATTAATTTAAAGAGAAAGGGCAGCTTTATTGGCTTTCCTTTGCTTCCTTGTGTTGAAAATGAAACTGACTTTGAGAGGCTTCTGAGATGTACAAAATGCAAACAAAAAAGTATTGGGCAAGTTTTGATTCTTCAGTTTTTGGCGTGGCCCGCATCCCTGTGTCAGACATCACCTTATAAGTACAAATTTCACTAATTTGATCCAACTTATGAGGACTAATGAAAAGATTGCATACCTCTAGTATTTGACATAAATGCTACAATGAAAACATTTCAAGAGAAAGGTTTGGCAGGATGGTGAAGAGGAAATGGTCACAGAAGGTGTCTACATCAGTTAGTACAGTTTCGTGCATGCCCTGCTGTCTCAAGCACAGTTCAAGGGAAAATGGTGAAGACATGGGGAATAGGTATTTGAAATTTCAAAGCACAATACACAGACCTTGTGCTAGGCATGCTTTACTTCTTGTAGGCTGTTTCTGTTTTTCAAAGAACTGCTGGCAAAAGATTCTCATTAAATATGTTCTCTTGCTGCATATTGAATAAATAATGCTGGTTAAAAGTGTCACTATCTGGAACCCAACTTTAATTTGTTTCTATAAGTTGTAATTCTTTTAAATTAGCAATTCCAGGTTAGTCAGGTTATGTTACTGAATCATATATGGTGTAATGCTTAGTTGGGAAGTGATATTATACTTTATGACTAATAAACACTTTCATGATCCCAAGGAAACAGTTAGGACTCCTCATTAATCCACTTGCCACTGAGCAAGGTCTCACGAAGCTGTTTTTAAAAGCATCCTCACTACATTCTACTTCAGTTTATATTCATTTTTTGTTTAAAACTAGAGGACATACCAAATACATTTGCTAGTCATTTTTTAAAAATCAAATGACCTTCTTCGTAACTTAAAATCATCTTGGGGAGTCTTCTTGCTTCACTTAGTGTGTGTAATGGTAGCAATGTATAACTTGCTACCATTACAGGTCCTGACTGGGCTGCTAATGATGTGCGGAACTGGCTTCCAAGCCGTGAGATTTTTCAAACATTGCTCTTTGAGCAAGGATTCCCAACATTGTAAAAGAAGTGGGATCCAGGAAAGCTTTTGACAATGGTAGGCGTAACATAGAGAGAGATATATGGAAGATCCAGTGCTATCACTGGAATTTTAAAAATATACTTAGAGTTCCAATTTGTATTTTTTATGTTACATAGTTGCAAGCATGAGGAACATGCATGTAGATGTAGAAAAATATTCACAAAGTCTGTGATGTCTCTAGTAATGTAACAGCTCCTAATATTTATGTTATTTCTGCAGTCTTCAAGACAGACAATACATCATTTATTTTTAATGGAAAACTTGCATCACACTGTCAGACTTCAAATGATTAGGACAATGGTGTGCAGCAATGAAATTTCTTGCCTCGAACATAAAACTAAACGATCAGGTTGTCTGTATTACTGCATGATAGTCATAGTGTCTTTCCATAACTGTAAGTTATTTATTTAGCTACCCAAAGAAGTCGATGTCAATATAATCATCTATCAAACCTTTCAAGTTGTCTGTATGTTGTAAATTCCAGTGACTCAGATAGAGTAACATAACTTTCCACACAAAGCTGATCACAAGCATTTCATTTGTAAGTTGGTTTCTCCCTTGCTATCAGCAGAAATATCCTGATGCAAACTGTTACACTAATTTCATTTACCATCAGCAAAACTCAAGCGACGGTTGTGTGAGAGTATTTTTCTCTGTGTCTATGTGATCCAGATAATGTGGACTCACTTGCTGCAAGGAGTCCATTCACAGCAGAAATGCTGCATCCAGCCATTAGTTTACCACAATGAGAAATGGGTTTTACTTTGGACCTTCCTGGAAGCTTTGAGATAATCTAGTTTTGGAGGTGTGGACAGCTGCATTGGGCTGGATCCAGGGCAGTCCTCTCTTCACATGTCCAACAGACCCAATGTTGTGTCGCCAGCCAGAAGCTCTCTCTCAGGCCCCATCCACACTGCCATATAATATAATTATAGAATGCAGTTGACTGCATTGAACTGGATTATATGAGTCTACCCTGCCATATAATGCAATTCAATGCATTATATGCATTATAAAGTGATTTCTGAATCTACATTATATGGCACTTGTGGCTTTACCTTGGATTAACTGGAGGAGTTTAACAGCTTAAGAGCTGTTATTTTTACACTTGAAGTAACTTCAAATACTTTTCCATTCTTAATGCCTTTATTCTGCTTCGGCCTTGTTAAATCGTGAGAACAACTTTGTTTATGCTACAGTAGTCTGATTTTTAGATAGGATATTGACAGAGGTATCTGTCTATTTGTTTCAGTTTGTATACTGTATGAATCTTTCATTGGTGAGATTTCTTTCTTCGACAATATGTTTTCATATCTTCGAAATCTCTTTGACAATACATCTTTCAATGTTTAAAAATGCTCTGTTTTTCACTACAGGGGCTGAAAGAGTTGTGTCTTTGTTTTCTGGCTCGGTTGAAAGTTTTAATATTTTTATAGGTTTGAAGTGTTTTTATAGGTTTGGAGTATGATAGTGTAGTCAGCACCAGGGCCCATACATCATTGTTTGTGTGTGGGTGAGATAGTGCCAGCAATGAGGTTTTCTTAGTTGCCTTGCAAACCATTTAGGACTCTTCTTCTTAGAGACCCACCTGTCCCTAACGCTGGACACATTAAAACAACAAGAATAAAAAATCAAGTCTTTTGAGGCAGTTAATTCTGTTTCATTCTCTGCTAAATGGCTGCCCCCTTCTCTCTCTCTCTCTCTCTCTCTCTCTTTCTTTCTTGCACGGTGGTGGTGGTGGTTTGTTTTTCTAGTTCTGGCTGATATGGCTGCATGTTGTATAATCTCTGTTCTTCACCATTTTGCCATTTTAAAAAATTAAGTTTTCCTTCTTGTTATTTCAGTAATTTTGTTTGTCATCTGCTAAGAGGAACGTTGAAGATAAGCAAAGTGTACATTTCAAAATAAATAAAATATCATCATATCCAATTTCACAGAAAGAGAGAGGGAGGAGAGAGAAACCCTTTAGAAACAGTTTCTTTAGGAACACTTGCATCAAGCAATGAGTAGAAGGAGAATTTTATGGTAGACACAAACCTTAGCATACATTGGTTTGATTCTGTGCCATCATTAGGCATTTGCGCACTTTCATAGAAGTCACTTATCCTTCAGGTTTAATCAAACACTCTTTCTTTTAATGTTTTACAGTTGATTGCTGTGTACGATGAACAGGATTCACTGCCCAAGGCTGATGACATCAATGGTAGCTTGACAGATGGGAACAGCCCAGATGCTTTTGAGACAGAGGTTGCTGCTCAGCTGGCTGCATTTCAGCCAATTGGAGGAGAGATTGAAGTGACACCCTCTGCCCTGAAACTAGGTATATATACTGTGTGTATGTGTGTGTTTTGACTGTATGTTATGTACAGTTGCTAAAACCTCTTGAGTTGATTATTGTCTTCAGTGTTGACATCTCCCCCTAAAGAGAATATATTTTCAACCTCAAAGGAGGGAAGGACTTTCTTCGCACGGATATCCCAGATGCTAGAAGTATGTTAACTATTATTATATGGAATACATAGTTTTTTGATGTGATAAAAGTATAAAAGTATATTTCTGTTTTTGGGTATATTTGACCTACTGATTCCAAAAATAACACCAGTTTCCCACTGTCAGCTCAAGTTTTTGAGGTACAGAACATGTGCCATATACCAGTCTTCATCTGCTAGACCATAGAAAATTGTGATAACCATATCTAAGAAACTAGAGCTGATGCAGTCTATCCAATGAAATTTTCTGAATTAATGCCCCAAATAACCCCAGGAAAAGGCCTAAAAACCAAGACACCAACATTTTATTGTTGTTGTGTATAATCTTTATTTAAAACAACACTTAAACTTTACTGCTAAGTTATGAAATCAACGCAAACCCGCTCCTTCCTAAACTATATATTAAAAAAAATTTGAACAATTCAGTTGTGGAAAACAATAATTTAAGATTATTTCTATATTTCAATAAGGATTTAACTGTGAAGACCAATGAAGTGTTACTATTATTGTTGTAGGAAATTTGAGATAGATATTTTCCCCACTTAACACAAAAAAATCCTATTCCCCCCTTAGTGACACTTTATGCTTAAAAGGTCTGAATTGTGAATTAATCATTGCTTTCTATTTATCATTACCTATCATGTTTATATTAATATATCTGCTTTGTCCTTGACCTACCCTGTTATATTTCTGTATGTCAGCATAAATGGTGTGAGTTAGGGATACATTTCCAGTCTATAAAATATTTGTGATACTGGTTATTGAATATGAACAGTAGTTGCCATGCTGTTGTTTGCTTTTAATATTAGTTTCCACATAAATTTATGGGCTCTTAAGATTATAAGTGGAAGAGCTTTTCAAGAAGGGTCAGAACTACATGAGAAATCAAAATGGCAATGAAGATATTTTCACTTTAATTCTTGTTCTGTAGCTATGTACTCATTCCTTATTCCTCTCTTCACTCTTCAGTATTCTTGATGAATCTGTGGACCAATCAGCCATAACTTTTAGGATTCTATTATTTTAATTTTTTTTAGTAGCTGTGACTGCTGAAGCGCTGGCAGTCAGAGCCATCCCAGGGCTGGTCAGAATTGTATACTTTGGATCAGTCTCCAGATAAAGTGTTGGTGTAGATGTGCCCTTTGTTCACAGCAGATATAATAATAATAATAATAATAATAATAATAATAATAATAGAAGTAGTAGTAATTATATTATTATTATTATTATTATTATTATTATTCGCCTTTCCTTGCGGTTGAAGGCAGGGTACACTATTAAAATACATATAACTAGCACACAGGTAAAATGCAGCTTAACATTTACAGATGCAGATAAAAATTCACAAGTTAAAAATTGACTTGGTAGGCCTGTTGGAAGAAATGGGTCTTAAGTTGTGTCTTAAGAGATTCTTGTGCCTGAATAGGGTTTTTCAGGATAAGTGACTAAGCAGTAAAATAAATATGGTAAGAAATAATGTTTTAAGGCTTTATTAACACAAATATAATTACTTGTAGTCACTTCCCGAGTTCTTAATGAAAAGAACTCAAATCTAAAACTGTTGGTCTTTGAACAATAATATGGTACTTGTCCCTTTTACTGGATTCCATAATATAACAAATCATTTAGCACAGAATCATTTTTTAAAGTTGACATTCAGAGGTGACTTCTGCAATTACATGCTGCTAGTTAATACCTGTTCAACATTGACCATCAAGTAGGTGCTATTAAACACAGAGAATAGCAAGATTTGACATGGAGAAATTACCTATAATCAAGAGACCTATCATTCTTGCCATATGATAATTGTTTGTCTAATGGATTGGCAATAGCAACTAACTTGCTTAGACAAAAGGAAAAATAGAAAGTAGAATTCAGTAACCCCTTTTGTCATAGGTTGAAAATGCAAAGTAAACTCTACACCACAATACAATGGCAATGGGACTCCATTCTATTTCAAATTTTCACTTCCCTATAAACTTTTAAAATGTGAATAAGAAATCATAGTCCTAATTGTCTTCTTAAACATCTTATTGTGTCATGTCTGCTGTTGGTCACCTTGAATCTTTATATCAAGAGAAAGGCTGAATCAGAGTACTTTCTGTAGAGTACTTTCTGTAGAGCTGTGGGATCAGCTTGTTTGACCTATTAGCTAACAGTAGCTATATCTGGTATACATGGTTATGGTATTCTAAGGACCTGTCTATACTTGAAAGAAAACCCTTATTTTATGGATCCACATAGACCTCATGGTTCCCGTTTGACACCATACACGGCAGTCACATCATGATGAGTTCATCTTACGTATCTGCACATGTTTGCTGGGCAAACCTACCACAATGTTAACTTGCTTGAGGAATAACCCTCCTCCTATTTCTACTATTGGTTGCCACAAGGTAGTGGCTATTTCACTTTTTTTATTCTTCCCATCATCCATACAAATATAGGTGTTTCTGCCTAAGGTGTCTTTAGCAATCCTATTGTGCAGAACTTCATGAATACTGATATATGAATATACTGATTTGTAATTATCCACATACTTATTTTTTCAAGTGAATGCTTAACTTGCTGGCCCTGGTTACTTCACACCAGCCCCATCTCTTCCTCCAGATCCAGTGCAAAGCCACCTGTTGGAGACTGCCATATGAAAAATCTCTGGAGCTCATTGACTTATTTGGCCAGGATGCAGGGTCAAAGACAATTCTTTAAAAATGGTTTAAAGGCCAAAGAACTGGTTGAAATGTGAATAATCATGAACAGCAGTCATTTTGAGGTGAACATATATATTTTTTGTTCATATAGAGAAGGCCTAAGAGAACTTTGGGAACTAAGAAGTCAATAGTTTTAATGACTGCTTCCTCAAAGGCTTTTCCTGCATACTCATTTTTGTGTGTTTGAGGGACAGAATTATAACCTGTCTTGTCTGAAAATGAGACTAGTTGATCTCTGTGTAGCTTCTCTATCTTTGTGTTAATAAATATTCTACTATTGTTTACATTTCTGCAACTCATTCCTGCCCTCTACTATAACAGCTTAAATCCATAATGCAAATGAAAATGTCTTGTCCTATTTGTACATGACTGGAATACAATCTGACTTGCTAAATTATGGTTGAGCTGACCCTGCTTAGGAAATTTTTGAAAAACAAAGTGTTGGAGGATGGCTTTAATTAGAAAAGATGTGAGACTAAGTACAGAGGAATGAAGGCGTGATTAGAATAAAAAAATCTCCATGCTGATCACTTCTATGCATATTCTTGGTCACTGTTATGCCGCTGTTAAAGTTTTTAAACCATGTACCCAAGATATTTTTGTGTGTGTTGGGCAGTGCCATTTGTAATAAGAGATAACAGTTTGCTTAGTATACTTTGTTCTTACAGTGGTGTGTCTGCATTCGAACACTGAAGTGTTTTGACATACTTAAGTGATGGCATTCCTTGGAATACCGTCCAGTTGGGTACACATGGGGTGTCTTGTCCTGTTCCTTCATTTCTGACTCATGTCTATGGTGATGGGGTATAAATAAAGTTTATTATTATTGTATAGGGGCTCTCCTAACACCTGCATTCCTTCCTTTTTTGAATAATGGGTCAGGCAGTTTCCACTTTAAGTTTTCATAATACCTGTGTGTGGTGCTAACTAACTTATGCAGTATCTCCCAGACCTTGTTACCTGGCATGGTTACAAGGTAAGCTGGATATGGCCCACGAAAGGGCACTTTGGTCATACCCCACCCCACCAAACCTAGAATCAGCTTTAATCTATTCTGCTGAGGTTATCGGGATTTATCAATACTTCGTATCAAGCTCCTTGGAGAAGTGGTTTTTTTTTCTATTTAGGAAATTAATAGACAGAATGTGGCCCTCCAAATAATGTTGAGCTGAATTGCAGTCTGACAACTCTTAGTTGCCCACTCTGGTTCAAACATTGATGCACCTTCTTATATCAATTATTTATCAAAAGACTGAAAGTGTATGCTAAAAACAATCAGCAATTAAGAGTATAATGCTTAAAATATGGAAGTGAATTTTAAGAGGTGAGGAAGTTGTTTAGTGCACACACACACACACACACACACAAAAGCCCACAGCCAGACAAAATTCCCTGAAAAGGACGTTCTGTAGTTGTGAAAGTACTTTTAAGCAAATTCTGCTGCTAAAACCAACTCTCCCATTTCACATGAGAATACATCAAATTTATATGGCTTTGGTCTTTCAAGCACGTGGATTCATAGTAGATTGGAGCTTTATAGCACCAACCTTTTGAATTGGACTCAGAATCATATCAGTCCTTTAAGATATAATCCATGAAAGCTGTGCCATTGAAAATTTGGCTGCTGTATATTCTGCACTAAAGCTTTCAAACTGTTTTTGGAAGTAGCCCTATTTATAACATATTATAGTTATACAAAGACATGCAAGCCTGTATGTAGATATTTAGAAATCTCATGTGGGAAAAGCCATGAAAGATCTTTTGAATTCTGTATTATTATTTTTTAATCTGTTTTTACCACACTGTACTATTTAATCTGTTTTTAACTTTTGTAACAAAAGGCCATAGTTTAGTCCATCCCAGAAGAACCTAAGAGGAGCATGGATCACCTCTCCTCTCTAGCCATGGATCCATTTCTGTCCTTTTTGAATGTCTTGGCAAGGGAATAATACATTTCACTTCCCTATTTTAAATTGGTATTTCTGAAGATCATTAAAATCAAAACTATGAGCACATTGTATTACTATGTGTATTTTTTAAAAAATGTGTGTAAGGAGTTTGTATTTGTGTTTATGTATAGGGAGGAGGGGAGAGAAAGGGGAAAAGAGGGAGAAAGAGAATGCAAACATCTCACTATTTCCATGTGATAGCTAAGTATTTAATTACCCATATTTACTTGAGTCTAATGCACCATCAAATCTAATGTGCAATTAGATTTTCAAAACACTGAAACCAAAAAACAAATTCTAGTGAATGTAATGTGCAGTGACAAAAAGTGCACTCTTTGCAATTTGGCCAAAAAAAGGTGCACATTACAGTTGCTGCCTGCTTAGAATTCTTCTTTAAAAACAAAAGTGTTCAGATAACAAAGTTTCCAGCAATGCAAAAGAAAACATTGGGTTACATCTATGTTTTGGGATGAATCCACTTTAACTTCCTTGGCTCAATGTTATGGGGGCTATGGTATGGGATTATGGGGGCTGACAAAGAATCCTGATACCTCACCAAATTACAAATCTCAGTATCACATAGCATTGAGTCCTCGCCATTCAATTAGAGATGATGTCCCTCAAAGTAGAGCTCCAGGTTCAACTCCTGAAGAGGCTGTATCAACTGGACCTAATTCCGTCCCATTTTGTCATCCCCATTTTCCTTATCAGTCATGTCTCATCTAAGGACAGGAAACTGTCAAATGAATTATTTCTAAGTCTAAGAGACTTTGTGGCTGAAGTGCTGGGCATAAATATGTTAAATAAGTAAATAAACCATGTCTGTTTGAAACAAAAATCACTGTGAAAAGGGGGGGGGGGTACAGTGATGATAAAATCTAACATTAAGTCGAGTAGCTTTGATCTTGTTTTGTAGTTACAACAACAGATCATTTTTGTAATATCTGTTCAGCTGATTAAAAATGGTCAAAAGCTTAACATTGGTAGGATTTGAGAGAATTATAATGTTGAAAGAGCCACTATTCAGCTTTATTTGGAATGGATTCTGTGATGCCCAAGAAGGATATTTTGCTAGGTTTTTTGGCATCTAGAATCATTGGGAGAAAAATAAAGATCAGATCCTTTGTTACTTCTATCTAGTGTTTAGATGAAACAGAAGGGAGAAGCTGAGAGATTAGCTTTGTAAGAGACTGGAGAGGTTTCGTTCTGGACTTAATGGACATCAATGGTAAAAAGAAAAGTGGTAACTAGCTGTAAAGTTAGCTAGAAATCCAAAATGCTCCAAAATCCAAATAGTCCACATGCGTGGCTGAGATAGTGACATATTGTATCTTTCTCATGGTTCACTATGCACAAACTTTTTATTTCAAGCACAAAATTACTAAAATATTGTGTATAAAATTACCTTCATGTTATGAGTGTAAGGTATATATGAAACATGAATGCACTTCATGTATGGATTTGAATTCCATATTCAAGATATCTGATTATGTATAGGCAAACATTCCAAATGCCATAAATAATAAATCCAAAATCTAAAATGTTTCTGGTTCCAAGCTTTTCAGATGATACTTAAACCTGTATATGATATGACAGAATAGTTCCTAACAAGAATACGTTTGATTCCTTACAAGCAAAGCAGGTTTAATTCTATAGCTTTCTGTAGAATTAAATCTGTGGGCAATCCCTTTCCATCTTCAGAGACAGAACTTTGACCAAGTTATAAAGAAGGAAACAAAGTAGCTGTCAGGAGCAAAAATGTGTTTTTCTGGAATTGAGTGTTTTCAGCTATGTTGGAATTTTTGTTCTGTCAAAGGTATTTAGAAATATGAAGGAAGACTACAATCTTGAGCACTTTAGTGGGGAAGCAAATGTAAACACTACAGGAAAGTGGTGGGTGGTGAGAAGAGATGTCTGGTACTAACAGCACTGATGGGATGTTTGCTTTGAATGATGTTGCAAGATAGATGTCATAGTCACTAGATGTTTTGTTTACTTTGCTGGGAAATGTGTGAAATGCAATTTTTTTCCCCGGAAATGTGTCATGTAGAGGTGTTGAGTAGTGCACTGTTGAGAGTTATGCAATTGTTCATTAAAATATTTTAAATGGAAGTGGAATAATACATTAAGAGATAGCTTCTATCACAATACACTTTCTTCACTACCGGAAAAAAGAAACAATGAGGATGTTGTTCAAGCGGCTAACTTGCTGTACCTTCTCAATTTAAATCATCCCTCTAGTTAGTTCAAGATTTTTCAAGACAGATGTTCATCTCTAAAACTAATAGAGCAGAAATAGTTGGAAATTCTTCCGTGATACTGGGTTTGTTTTGAAAAAGGGAGGGAATGGAAGAACAGCCTGTTCCATCTTTTAACTCTATTCTGAATGGTCTAAAAACACACGGCAATTCCAACTCAGATCTAATTCTTCCAGCAAAATAGTCTAGTGATGCTTTGTGCATGACGTAAGTAGCAAATCAGTACTAGCTGCTTAATGCAGTTTGACACAATGACTTCCAGATAATTAAAGTTCAGCTTAATCTTTATTGAAAGTAGGCTTTATTCTGCAATTTAAAAAAGTTTGTCAGTATATCATGTTGACATAGGATGGGTAATTAGAGCTGCCACCAGTTTCTCTGTTGGTAAAGCAAGCTGAAATACAATTTTTCTGCAACACTACTTGGTCCCTATTGAAGTTTTTCAATAGAATACGTAACATAAAACAGGCACAGAGAGAGATGGGAAATATTTTTGTAGGATGAATCCTGTTCATTTCAGGTGGAAGGTGTAAAATAATGGTTTAACCACAAAATTGCTCCTTGGCATCAGTACTTGATTTCCTTTTCTAACTCACCCAACCAATTGAATAGTTGTCTTACAAATTATACCCTAAAAGGGAAGGGTGGTAATTGCTTTGTTAACCTGTCAGTAATCACCATATGTACCTGTAAAATAAAGAGAAAGGCTGAAGTTAGGGACCGAAATGTTTTGTCAGAATTAAAAGCTAGCCTAACTGGTAAGAATAGAGACAAATGTCAAAATAGGTTGGAATCAGGAACTCATGTGTTTACAAATTCAAATGTTGATTTGAGAGCCAATTTAAATGAATTTTGCCTTATACTGACCATGTCATATGCATGTTGTATTTCAAACAATGCATTTTGTAGTAATCTAGGTAATGTTCCAGATTATTCCATATTTGGATTTTTTTTTTTTTTTGCAAATAACAAGGAAATCTCTTTAAGCTAATTAGTCTGCATTCTTGGCCCTTCTCCAGGAATACATTATTTTGGAAAAGTTGAAGAGGGGGGAAATCAAACAAACCTAGTGTTTAAGTTAGAATTTTAAAATTCTAACTTAGGGGTTATGCCACTGTTATATTTTGAAGTTTCATAGTTTACAGTTCTTCTCTGTTAGGGGTGCTTTGAATGCTATTTTCCTGCTTCTTGGCAGGAGGTTGGACCGGATGGCCCATGAGGTCTCTTCCAACTCTGTGATTCTGTAGTGGTAAAGTTAAGTAGTGATTGAATGTTTTACAAGATAAAAAAGACAGGTCCTTCTTGGTCTGCCAACTATCATTTTTGATTTGGGGTATAAGTATTTTCTTTCTTTTTGTAAAAATTGACTTTCTGGAGACACGTGAACTTACCATGTAACTATATTAGGTCTGGAAGCCAAGCCTTAAGGTGAGTGGCTTAGGGAGCTTGAAAGATTTCACTTGGTGAAGTATAAGAGGGGACACAAGAGCCAAGTTTAAATATTTGAAAGGAAATATTTGAGCAGGAAGCTCTTCATTCAAACATCAGGAAAAGAGATTTTACCTAAACATGAGGAAAACCTTCCCGATGGTGAGAGATGTTCAATAGTAGAATATGCTGCTGCCTTGCAGTGTGGTGGAGTCATCTTCTTTGAATGCTTCTAAACAGAGGCTGGGCAACCATCTATCAAGAGTGCTTTGGTTATACTTTCCAATATGGGCTTGGACTGGATGACATTACTTGCATCTTCCAACTCAATAATCTTATGATTCTATTGTTATATGAAAAGTGTGGTGATTGATTAAATTTTCTGATGCAATATTTTTATGCTTTCTTGTTTTTGTTTTTAGGGACACCGCTTTTGGTGAGAAGGAGCAGTGATCCAACCCTGGGTCCACCTGACTTTCCTGTAGGAGCTTCACATGACAGTGACCATGTTTTGAAGACTTCTGTGTCAGTAAGTATCTTGTTTTTCTACTACTTCATATCAGTATTAGGCTCCTTTGATATAAGAGTTGCACTCAGGTCTTTCATGAGAAAATGACTGATTGTATAACTCAATTCTTCCTTTCCTTGCCCCTATACTTCCCTGTCTTCTCCATGATTGTGTCCATGTATGGTGAGGCTCCTCTAAACAGTAACAGCTGGGATATGCGAGGCTTTGGTAGGATGCTGTAGTTTCTTGGAAATAGGATAGACTATCTAATAGCCATTTCATTACAGTTCTCATCTAACACTATTTCACTGTTCACAAGAGGACTCCTTAGCTATTTGTAGGAAGATTTTTGGCGTAAAGAAGAGATAGGAGGAAAGCAACAGATAGATTACTCAAGATGCCTTGAATAATCCATAGGACATAACCTTGGAGTTTGTGGAATTTTGTGTGAGTTTTAATGGGGAATAATAAAATTATAAAATTGAATGCATACTTTCAGTTATGATAGGATTTTAAAAAATAATTTTGTTTAGTATTTTTGTAAATGTCTAAATACAGCCATCAGTCTTTAGTGATAAATTTTATTAGCAATAGAAACATGGCAAAAAGTAAAGTTTCTGTCTAGCTCATTGTTTCCCAGCTGGCAGGGATTTTGCTTAGGGATATGAAGAAGACTTGCCAGTTTTGAGCTTCCAGACAAGAGTGGCTGTCTTGACAGGGTGAAACAATATCTCAAGGATTCTTCAGCAACTTCAAGAAATTTCATTTCTGTCATGAGAAACATCTGTCAAGAATCCAGATGTTTTTCCACCATCATGTTTTTTGCAGTTCATAGAAGATTCAGCAAAAAGAACTTGGTGGAAAATACTTCTTTTTGTAAAAAAATAATAATTCTCTTTCCTTTTGCAAAGACACAGAAAATCAATCTAGTGTTGCTACTTGTGTGTATCAAATCACAAGTTATTACATTTTTCCAATTTGTGTCTTTAACAAAAATGCAAGATTACTCTATGTCTCAGAACAAAAAAAACACACCAAAATCAGATAGTTCACTGTCGGGTCATTAATAGTCACACTATGCACTATGTTAGGTTGGAAGTGCAAGTAATCAGTCTTACAGTTTTAGCTATATCACCTAGACAGCACCTCTAAACTGACACAAAGAGAGCTCAGGATTAGTTTGAAGTGGAAAAGCAAAGTTAAAGTGAGTACTTCCCTGATACTGAAATCAGAGAAATGCATGCTGGGATGTGAGTGTCTGACCTTTTGTTGATTTTTTAAGAAATTTTTTTCTGAAAGGTCTCGGGGTGGCATACTGCATAAATAAATACAAAAAAAATATGCAAAATAAATGACAAATAAGTATAAAACAGAAAACAGAGTAAGTCCCATCTTGGAGAGCCAGCCCAGAAGAATACCAGGGTTGATGGTATTGAAAGCCACTGAGAGATCCAGGAGTATTTTAGTACAGCTTTAAGTGAAACAAAGGTAAACTAAATGTATGGTTTACATGGCTTGTTGACCGCTTAATCGGGGAGGAGTTACAGCTTTACAACATTTTATTTGTTAAATCATTTTAGGAGGAATTTCATGGTGTCCAGTTATACATGAGTGGATATAGTAAGTGAAACATATAGGAACTAACATCTTTTGCTATCTGTAGCTCTAGCAATGGTAAAATTGCTGTTATCTCTTCTAATTACAAATAAATTAATTGGAAAACTAAATTGCACATTTTAATTCAGACTGTGTAGAATCTATGAAGTTGACTAAATGGAAGTGAGCATATCAAAGTACAATAGTTAATAACCAAAAGGATGTTACAAGATGTGCTCAAGCAAGAAGTAGTTTCAATTCTAGTCTTCTAAATTTAGTAAGATTATTTACGTGAAATTAATATACTTCTAATCTAATAGTGCTTTGAAATGTAAATTAACTTTTATTTCAATGATCTTCCACATGCCCATAGATTAAGTGTCATACATTTTCAAAAGTTGTCCTGGCAAAGAATATTGAAAACTTGTGAAATAGTATTAACATATAGTACCAATGCCAGTGATTACATTAAATTTAGCAGTAACTTTAAAGCTCAACTCAAGGTTAGCAAATGGTTATAAATATTCATATATGTAATATTTAAACTAAAATGTGTAATCAAACGAATGCAAGCATAGTTAAGGTAAATGGAGTTCATGTCAAATGAGCAGAATTATGTACGTATTTTAATGTAGTTAGCTTCTTCGCTTACAAAACACCTTCCAGTGTTGAGAGATCAGAATAATTTATTTAAAAGATATTATTCTCAACTTTCTGCCTCCTATTGGTTAAATACTTTACTATGTGAGTATTAATTTATGTATTTACGTGGGTCACAAGTAGGCATAGATAGAGCCTACTCGTTACTTGTAATAATTTCATTAAAGTTACCTTTTTGAAGCGATTTTGAAGCATTTTAAAAACCCAGAAGACCCTTAGCCCTTCCTAAGCTTTCTCCTCTATTTTTGTTACAACTCAGGAAGTGAGTTGGAAATGATTCAGTGTATTGTTTGTTTAGCTTGCAGATGTATTGGAATATAGTCCAATGTCCCAAGGAAGATAAAAGTGGGTGGAAAAGATGGGATTTCAGAGTGAAGATGGCAAAGGTTTGGAAATAAACCCAGTGAGGAACAATTTAGGGAACAGAGTATGTTCAGCTGACTGAGGGGTGACATGGGGGATGTCATGTAGAATATGGAGTCTAGGACACAAACCAGTGGATTCAAATTGTGGGAAAGGAAACCCTTTTCCCCCAGAGGTTGTGTGGCTATCTCTCAGGAGTGCTATAGCTATAGCTACATGTTCCTGAATGACAGGTAGTTGAACTAGATGGCCTTTGTGGGTACCTTCCAACTCTATGATTCTATGATGTATAGTCTGAAATATCATTTTGGGAAAGACTGTTTTAATTTCTCACCTAGACTTGTGTTCTTTGCTTTGGTTTTATTTTTACTTTTTTCTTCGCTGTATATGAAATAGCCCACCTGTGTGCTTGCATAAAGTGATTTAGTTTCACATTTTCATTTTTCTTCTACAACATGCAAAATAGCTCTTATGGTAATGATGCTTCTGGATCCAATGCAATACAGTCATACAGAGCAGTCCAATATAGTATAAGTTGTCTAGGGAGCTTTACCATTATGTTTGATTGATCAGTTCGGAAAACCATATGACACTCTCTGGGCCTCAGTGTATCCCCAGTCTTCCTCATTCCCAGAATTTTATTTTTACTTTAAAGTCTCCTTTCATGGCGTAGGGCCACTGAGAGTGTAATTTTTCCATGTTCTGAGAGCCCTCTAGGGCTGTTTGAAGGATATAAGACTTTTTAAAACCAGAAATGGCTCTCATGTTTTGAAAATGGCCTTTCCGGGCCCGTACTGCATTTGCGTGTGCTGAAATTCTGGCAATATGGCCTCTCAACTATCTCTAAATTATTTTTCTTTTTAAAAAAATCTAATTTGGAAAAGAGTACTTCAATTAAAATGTGAGAAGAGCATCACTTCCAGGACTGGCAGGAAGATATGTGTACCATTTGGACATTGGGAATTTGTGTCTGCAGTAATATTGGGTACTTCAGGCTCAGATTGTGTAATGCAATTAGAATTTTTAACAGTAAATATGAGCTTATAAATAGCTCCACCTACTTGGGATTTATATATAAATCCATGTCAAAATTGCTTTCTGTCTGTGCATAGCAGACATATGATTTGTAATTTTAAAAAGATTGGTTAATCAGAAGTGTTTTTTTATTTCAAGTTCTTCTTCCTTTTCTTAAAAAAAGGTCAAGCCTCTGGTTCTTATGCTGCTAATTGTAATTTTAAAGTATTAGCTATTGTGATTAAGTGTTTTTATATTAGCATAATACGTATCATGTATCCAATTGATAACATGGTGCATAATTTCATATGGATTGGTATGTTTAGAGATGAAACAGTTCTGCAGTTCAAAAGATTATATTAGAGATAAAGCTGTATCATTCATCTTGGTAAAAAATAACAGCTCATAATGGGCATTTTCTTTGAAATAGCTCCATTTAAATTTTAAGCTATTAAATCACACATATGGAGAGAATATTGTTGACCCAGTGAATTAATAATCATAGAATTTATACCCCCAGCTGTTCAAGTAGGCCTTAACTAGAGATAGAAATGTTATATGTGCCTTTGTTTTCAAAACGATGATATCTCTATCAGTAGTATTTTTCTTGGCACTGTTTTAACTCTGGTCAGATTGGAAAGTGTAGTGTACTTGCCCACATATTTCTGATAAATTTTAAAGATATATATATATGGAACATTAGGTTCTAGTAGTAGTGTTGTGTTATATTATGACATGGTGCCTGAATGCAATTGATTAATTTGTAGTTGGTGAGATAAAATCAAGTCTGCACATTTGAGAAGCAGTTTGGCTTTCCTATTAGAATTTAAACAATACATTAAAGGATCTTGGGGGAAAATACTCCATATGTCGCTCTTAAGGCAGAAATTGTGAACAGTTGTGTGACGCTTTGCAGACAAAATCATTTGGATATGTTCCCACTTGGATGTGATCATCAAGACAAATCTGTGGATAGAATTTTGGCCAGTTTGTCAAGTAACTGGTTCTTTTCATTCTTTGCAACTCTAAGACATATAAGACGTATGAGCCTGGATCTTTGTGTCTCAGACTCATTAAAAAGCCATTTGGGATTGGCTGACTGTAGGACAGCGGTTCTCAACCTGTGGGTCCCCAGGTGTTTTGTCCTACAACTCCCAGAATTCCCAGCAAGTTTACCAGCTGTTAGGATTTCTGGAAGTTGAAGGCTAAAACATCTGGGGACCCACAGGTTGAGAACCACTGCTATGGGATGGTTAACACCTTTCTAAAGCACGCCATAGTTTCAATGTGCTTAAAGACAAAGACACAAGACTTTTCCTGAAACTCTTTGCTTGAATTCCAGTACATTGGATAATTACAAACCAGTCTTCAGTATTCAGTTTTTGTGC